ACGGTGGCGGCTGCTGCTGCGGGCGAGGGCGAGGACGAGGGGCGTGGCCGGTGGCGAGCACTCCTGCAACATCCCGCGCGGACCGCCTGTGCGACCCAGCGGTGCGCGAGGCGAAGAGCGGCGTTAGACACGCGGCAGCGGGCGAGCGCGGGGGGGCGGGGCCCCCGGAGGAGGGACAGCACAGGCAAGAGAGCGGGGGCGGCGCCGGGCGTGGGCGAGCGGCGTGGGCGCTCATTGGTCAAAATGGGGGCGACCGTGCCTCGGTTGGGAAGACTCTACCCAAGGAAACTCCTTTGGCGGATTTCTACAGAAGCTACATTTACACTTACGAAAGAGTGTTGACGTTTCAATTTAACTAATACAAAAACTTCGTATGTGGATTATTTTTTACGAATCTAACACAACTTCCTGAATACTTAAAACTTGTACTGAAACTTTATGAAAATAATATATTTTAAAAAAAATTGTCATATGAAGTCATCTCGAAATTATTTGGTAAAATTCTTACTTTAAGTTAGACATTTAAAAAACTACACATTTGTTACGTATCAAATAAATATTACAGAAAGTTTTTTTTAAATTTTACTTCCATTGAATTGTTAAATCTTATGTTCGAAATTTGTCAATTGGTCACTCATAATTTCCAACACTTGCTTTTATCAACAAGATGCCTTTTTTACAACAAAATATAGTTTGGATAACTTAGAAGCCCACGCCAAATATGCCGACGCCCAACGCACACCCCCAAAATCAGGATAGACAATATTTCAAGATCTGGACCGTCATAGTCAAATTATAGTCAGAATGTCATTTGGGATTAAAAGTGTACTCGTGAACCTTCAAGTTTATTTCCGTCACTTGAATGAATATTTAAGAAGTTAGTGGATATAAATTACTTTTCTTGAGAAAGAAAATGAAAAAATACAGAGATTTTAAATAATATGCCTCATTGAAATACTAAAAAGTAACATCCACTTCTTTCTTGTATACTCACCCTAATGACAAAAATTCAATGTCCTGGACAGTTGAAGTGAAATTCGTTTACTGCTTGCTGTCGAGACAGTCTAAGCAAAACCATTGACATTCCTTATTAAATAATATATACAAAATGAAAATTAGCGACAGAATGTGCAAGTACCCTTTCTAAAATATGTATGATCATGTGAACACGTAAACGTGATTTACGTGATCACTTGAACGGTTGTGAATTCAACTGATAAAAACGTGATATTTCCACATAATTATGTAGTTCATAGAGTAAGAAGGTTAACGTCTTAATTTCAGCATCTAAGCAGTACTCCTAACTTGCCAAGGAAATGTCCGCTACATTCTTATCCGTGGAATATCCTCATCTTGGTGTTCTCTTTCGTGAAACGAAGGTCGCATTCGATGTTTATCGAGATTAACTTCCAATACCGCTGATCGATATTTCACACATTTTTCAGCAATTCTCTTATAGAGATCTTTATGACCCTAGCCCCCTGCCTAATGATCCATCGGCCCTCCTGGCCTCAATCTGTGGTCCCTCTCCGCTGCCCTAGATGATCAGCCCGCCGTGGCCCCGCCGGCAGGCGTACCAACTTCGGCCGGCGCATTCGAGTTTGTGTTTTTGTTGCTAGCTCGAAGACTCGTCACGCTCCCGAACAAAATGAACTGTTTTGTCGGCCTCGCGTTCGCTTAAATATTCAGTCTTTTTCCTTTCCTCTCGCTTGTTGCTAGACATTTTTTCTGGATGGAAGTTGTTTTATTGTTACTCAAAGCCAAAGGGATAATATGGCTTATGCTCAACATATTGTCTGATCGCAGTTGTTGGAATGTTAGTTATGATCATAAGAACTTCAATCGGCATCGTTTCACGAGCGTAAATGTAGGGTAAAATTTGGTAGTGTTACAATAGAAAGTTAGGAAGATGCAATTATATACATTAAAAATTTCAGTGAATGATTCACGGCGTCATTTTTGTTAGATTAAAGTAGTAATATCACAAGGGAATTAACTATACTTTCTGATTTCCTGAGATAGGCTTCCCTAAGCTCATAATTCCACTTACACTTACACTTGACACATTCTCAAACACTACATAATTCTCTCTATATATTAATGTAGATTGACATTCACAATTATTTTTTCTTAACTATTCTTATATGCAATCCTCACTCTTATGGATTTTTATTATGTTCAATGAATTTAAAAGTCTATCTCAGATCCTGCCCTCATGTTCATGTCCCTTTTCCTTCGTACTTGTAATGTTAATATTTCTCTTTTGAGTTTAATATGCAGAATTCTAAGTTTATTATCACGGATTCTAATTAGCGAGTCATTGCATTGCCCAACGTCTTGCAACATACACACAGAGCGCGTCATTTTTAACACACAAGGTTCCGCGAGAACGCGGTCGACGTGACTGCACAAGTCCTATGAGAGGTAACACTCAAAGCGAGATGGCGTGCTGTCAGTGGCACGCAGTATTGCACGCACGGGTGGATGCATGCATGCATGCGTGCATACATGCAAGCAGGAATGCTCCTGAACCGAGCGACTGTGACCAACAACTCACGATATTCATCCGGGCTCTGCCCTGATTTGAGAGTCCATAGTACGCTCTATTCACAAATCGGTCGATGAAAATTAGTCAAATACTTTTTTCTAGTCAGTTTGATCTTGACGATTGTATCAATGAATAATTAATATTTTAAAAAGAAACTCAGCTCAGTGAGTCATATCAGAAAATGTATGATTCGGGAATCCCTACAACAGGAAAAAACAAAATGAAAGTTACAATTAAATATTGCATCTGCTAACAGTGCGAACGTCACATGAACGTTTTTAATTTGGAGTAGTGTCTTTTGAAAAATTATTCTTTTCTGAATTTTCTTCGTTCTCAACAAAGAACGGATAAAAAAGTGACTAACACACGATGCATTGAAAGGATTTTCTCACGTTTAAGATCTTAAAAGGTTTGCGAATGAAGTCTGTTTTCTGGTGCAGGGCTTTAATGAAGGTGGGGAAAAGTTAATTATTTCATTCATTTACTTGTCATTCGGGAAGAAGATTCAAAGGGCAGATTGTTTCCTAAGCGTACTTTTATTGAGAGAGAACCAATACAAGCAAAAAATAACCGCTCCAAAATTTAATGAACTTTTTTAGTTGTTTCCTAACTCAAAATGTTTAAAGTTTATAAAAATTTTGATAAAATATCCTGATCTAGAAACACTATAAAAAGACACACAAAAACGTAGAACAGTTCTATGTAAAAGAAGTAATTATCTGAATTATGAATACTAAAAGAATAATTCGGTAATTTACAGGTTCTCAGAAAGATAATTGGTAGGAAATCAATTCAGCTCTTGGACGTTGATGTTTACAGCGAACTAAAGAATTCAAAACGTGAATTGAAGCGTACCAAATATAAAAACTGACCTACATAGAGAGTAAGATATATAGAGTGTTGTGGGTTCGAATTTTGCATAAGGC